GGGGGACGTGGGAGGGGCGCAGGCTGGCAGTGGGAGATCTGCCCTTTTCTTCTTTGACCAAGTGGGATGGGCTGGGGGCATGGCAAGCCGTCAGCGGCCTAGGGTTGGGGGTCTGGAGGCCCCAGGCTGTGAGAGCTGGTGCCCGGGACACAGGGTACAGGCTCACTGGGCCCAAGTCCCGGGGACCCCAGCTCCACCAGACTGGCCAGATCGGACCGCCTTCCCCAAGACCCACCAGGTGCAGTGCCTTCCATAAGACGTGCAAACCAAAACGTCCCAGCACAGTGGCTCAGGCCCCAGCCGGGCGGTCCCTGGGCTCGGCCCCAAGGGCCTGGTGTTCTGGGGGTGGGGTGGGCTGGGTCCCGCCTTCTTGGAGTTGCCTGGTGCGTTCAGAGCCTCAGCTGGTAGGCTTGAAACAGGAACACAAGCCAAGCTGTGCAGACTCCTGGGGCGCTGAATGGATGAGGAGGAGGAGGAGGAAGAGGGGGATGTAGGCAGGTGACATGGGGAAGGGATGGGAGGGACAGCAGGAGAGAAAGAAGTGGTGGCTGGGTCTACCGTTCAGAAATCCACCCACATCTCTGCGACGCCGGCCTCTAGTTCCCATCTGCATTACCAAAGTACAAAGTCCCTTGCATCCACTCCTTTCCGGTGGAGACTGCAGAATTGAACATGAATGCAGACGCCCTCTCGCAGGCTTCAGGGGGAAGGTCCCCGTTCTGCCTTTTGAGGCAGAACGATCCTCTCCATGTCTGACCCGGCTTGGGGCGTTACGAACCAGCCTGCTGTCATCATCCAGGGGCGCGGGAAGACTCATTTTTTGCCCGTAGAGGACAGCTGGGCACAGATGAAACCCTCTTCCATCAGCATCACATGATGGATGGATGGCAGATAATCAAGACATCGCTGTGCCTGCCTCCCACAACCTTGGCCAGGGCGAGGGATAACGGATGGGATGCTCTGCGAGTGGCTGGGACACAGGTGTGGACAAATGCTAGGCGGGGATACCGTGCTTCTCTAAGGAGAGACTCCAGGAGCATCTTGGGAACTTCTGCTGTCTAGCCTTTAGTCTATCCAAAAAAGACTAGATTTCAAGCATCCCTGCCGTCAGGAGCCAGCGGGCCTCCCTGCGCATCTAGCCACGACAGTGCTGGGTGGGTCCCCTAACTGGGTAGTCAAGCATCACTGGCACAGCTACCTCTGGTTGGGCACCCCCTGTGTGCCAGGCCCTGTGCTGGGTGCCATGCACACAAGGGAGACCAAGCTGATGGATGGGCCACCTGCCCTCATGGAGCTGACGTTCATTCACAGTCTTTACCTGTAACATAGGTATTTACCTGGACATAGGAATCATGACCTCCAAGCATGGCAAGGTGGGGTGACCTCCACAAGCATACAGAGGTTACAGTGACAGAGGTGGGGTTGCAATCCC